TTGGAGGTTCCAAGAACATACAATAGCTGGTCATTAGACATCAAGGCATATTGAAAGCTGCTGTACTTCCTCTATACCTCTGGCATCCTACTACAGGGATGAGCCGTATTATACAGTATACATATCACAATGGATGACTGTGGACTTGGAGCCTTGTAGCATCACCTAGTGGTCAAACTGACTACTTTTTGCACAAAACAAATGTCCTATACGCTTTTGCTTGTTGGTGGATATTCAAAATATTTGAAATGGAAAGACGATCTAAACTCGTACAACATTTTTGAAGTAAAAATATGAAAATATGTTGGTTCTGAGTGTTCTGTTCTAACCTTTCAGGTGATGAAAGGCCAGTGACTGTCTACCTCAGTGGGCAGAGGTCGGTGTCCATAAATAGACAATTAGCCTTTGGGTGTAAAGACCCTCACTGTGCAGGAGACAGGAAGGATTACTGCTGAAGAGAAGAGGCTAATAATGGCAGAGCTGGTGAAGCTTCATTTCTCACAGCCCAGTCTGGCAAGAAAGACTAGTGAAAGCAGGATATTGGTGGGAATTATGACTCAATGTTCTGGGGCTGATACCAGGAATGGACCACGTTGTCCACTGTATGACATAGGAAAGGTGGGAAGGGGGTTGCACTCTTGAACCATATAACTCCCCAACAATGCGGATGTATTGAATCTGAAGTGTGCAGCATTTTGACCTTTTTGGTCTTCATATCCAGTCGTCCTCAGGTCAAGATAGAATGGTGCCGGAGAAGATGGCTGCCGTTTTACAGCCTTCTAACCAATTGTACTATTATGTGTGTTTTTCCGCGTTATTTGTAATTTATTCTGTACATAATGTTTCTGCCATCGTCTCTTATAACCAGAAAGAGCTTCTGGATATCAGGACAGCGATTACTCACCTTGTATTGGATGAATAATTTTTCTTCAACAAGTCGGACGCGAAGACACCCGACAAGGCCCAAATCCCAGTCATTCGCATGAGAAAGAGACAGAGATATTGTGGACGTAGGTCGGGGTGCCTTGTAAGGATCCGACGGTGAGCGAGTAAACTGCCTCTTCCATCAATCCTATTAGCCAATGTTCAATCATTTGAGAATAAATTGGATGACCTAAGATTACGGTTATCCTACCAACGGGACATTAAAAACTGTAATATCTTATGTTTCACCGAGTCGTGGCTGAACGACGACATGGACAACATACAGCTAGCGGGCTATACGCTACATCGGCAGGATAGAATGGCTGACTCCGGTAAGACAAGGGGTGGCGGTCTGTGTATATTTGTAAACAACAGCTGGTGCACAAAATCAAATACTAAGGAAGTCTCGAGGTTTTGCTCGCCTGAGGTAGAGTATCTTATGATAAGCTGTAGACCACACTATTTACCAAGAGCGTTTTCATCTATATTTTTCATAGCTGTCTATTTACCACCACAAACAAATGCTGGCATTAAGATTGCACTGAATGAGCTGTATAAGGCCATAAGTGAACAGGAAAATGCTCATCCAGAGGCGGCGCTCCTAGTGGCCGGGGACTTTAATGCAGGGAAACTTAAATCCGTTCTACCTAATTTCTACCAGCATGTTAAATGTGCAACCAGAGGAAAGAAAACTCTAGACCACCTTTACTCCACACACAGAGACGCATACAAAGCTCTCCCTCGCCCTCCATTTGGCAAATCTGACCATAACTCTATCCTCCTGATTCCTGCTTATAAGCAAAAATTAAAGCAGGAAGCATCAGTGACTCGGTTAATAAAAAAGTGGTCAGATGATGCAGATGCTAAGCTACAGGACTGTTTTGCTAGCACAGACTGGAATATGTTCCGGGATTCTTCAGATAGCATTGAGGAGTACACCACATCAGTCACTGGCTTCATCAATAAGTGCGTCGATTATGTCATCCCCACAGTGACCGTACGTACCCCAACCAGAAGCCATGGATTACAGGCAACATCCGCACTGAGCTAAAGGGTAGAGCTGCCGCTTTCAAGGAGCGGGACTCTAACCCGGACGCTTATAAGAAATCCCGCTATGCCCTCCGACGATCCATCAAACAGGCAAAGAGTCAATACAGGACTAAGATTGAATCGTACTACACTGGCTCGTCGGATGTGGCAGGGCTTGAAAACTATTACAGACTACAAAGGGAAGCACAGCCGCGAGCTGCCCAGTGACACAAGACTTCCAGACGAGCTAAACCACTTCTATGCTCGCTTCGAGGCAAGCAACACTGAAGCATGCATGAGAGCACCAGCTGTTCTGGATGATTATGTGATCACGCTCTCCGTAGCCGATGTGAGTAAGACTTTTAAGCAGGTCAACATTCACAAGGCCGCAGGGCCAGACGTATTACCAGGACGTGTACTCCGAGCATGTGCTGACCAACTGGCAAGTGTCTTCACAGACATTTTCAACATGTCCCTGACTGAGTCTGTAATACCAACATGTTTCAAGCAGACCACCATAGTCCCCGTGCCCAAGGACACTAAGATAACCTGCCTAAATGACTACCGACCCATAGCACTGACGTCTGTAGCCATGAAGTGCTTTGAAAGGCTGGTCATGGCTCACATCAACACCATTCTCCCAGAAACCCTAGACCCACTCTAATTTGCATACCGCCCCAACAGATCCACAGATGATGCAATCTCTATTGCACTCCACACTGCCCTTTCCCACCTGGACAAGAGGAACACCTACGTGAGAATGCTATTCATTGACTACAGCTCAGCGTTCAACACCATAGTGCCCTCAAAGCTCATCACTAAGCTAAGGATCCTGGGACTAAACACCTCCCTCTGCAACTGGATCCTGGACTTCCTGACGGGCTGCCCCCAGGTGGTAAGGGTAGGTAACAACACATCTGTCTCACTGATCCTCAACACGGGGGCCCCTCAGGGGTGCGTGCTCAGTCCCCTCCTGTACTCCCTGTTCACCCATGACTGTATGGCCAGGCACGACTCCAACACCATCATTAAGTTTGCCGACGACACAACAGTGGTAGGCCTGATCACCGACAACGATGAGACAGCCTATAGGGAGGAGGTCAGAGACCTGGCCGTGTGGTGCCAGGATAACAAGCTCTCCCTCAACGTGACCAAGACAAAGGAGATGATTGTGGACAACAGGAAAAAAAAGAGGACTGAGCACGCCCCCATTCTCATCGACGGGGCTGTAGTGGAACAGGTTGAGAGCTTCAAGTTCCTTGGTGTCCACATCACCAACGAACTATCATGGTCCAAACACACCAAGACAGTTGTGAAGAGGGCACGACAAAGCCTATTCCCCCTCAGGAGATTGAAAAGATTTGGCATGGGTCCTCAGATCCTCAAAAAATTACACAGCTGCACCATCGAGATCATCCTGACTGGTTGCATCACCGCCTGGTATGGCAACTGCTCGGCCTCCGACCGCAAGGCACTACAGAGGGTAGTGCGTACGGCCCAGTACATCACTGGGGCCAAGCTTCCTGCCATCCAGGACCTCTATACCAGGCGGTGTCAGAGGAAGGCCCTCAAAATTGTCAAAGACTCCAGCCACCCTAGTCATAAACTGTTCTCTCTGCTACCGCATGGCAAGCGGTACCAGAGTGCCAAGTCTAGGTCCAAAAGACTTCTCAACAGCTTCTACCCCAAGCCATAAGACTCATGAACAGCTAATCATGGCTACCCGGACTATTTGCATTGTTTTTCTCGGTCGCCCATTTCAATATTTCATTTTTCATTAGATTTTTCCATTATGTAAATTTTGGCGGATTGATTGATTTCCAAGTTTTTAGTATACGTTTTTTTCAAGATGAGTGATGAGAGGAGAATCATCTAGCCCATTGGGTATCTCATTACACCCCCATATGCCATATATTGAAATATGCAGACAGAAGGATTAAAACCTTTGCACTTCATAGCATTCCCAGAAAGCATGGATTATTGATTAATTCGTTTTACACATAAGACATGACTCTTCTGTTGTGCTGTAGAATTTGTGAAAATATTTTACATCGAAATTTCGTGATATCTTGGTCAGTCCAAAATTACTTTTTAATTCTGTCATGGAAATAAATGTATTTTCTGTTACCAAGTCATTTACCATTTTTATGCCTTTAGTTTTCCATGTGGACCAATTTATTGGTGAATTCTGAAAAGCTTTCCAAGGTTGTGTATTTAGGGCATGATATTGGTTCTTGTAGAATACGTTTCATTTTCTTCCATATTGTTATAGTGTTCTTAACTATGAAGTTGTTAATGTTCTTAGCTTTATCCTTTGAAAATAGACAAGTACGATTCTGGGGATGAGTATGTGCATCTTCAATGTGTACCGATTGTTCCTCTTTAGTGCATTTAACTATATGTCGCAAGAAAAAGCCTTGGGTAGAGAGTTAATAAAATTCCAAGTATGGAAGGTTTAAACCACCCTCAGATATAGGAAGATGTAAAACTTTGCTTTTTATTCTATGAAATTATTTGCTCATATAAAGTCTGTTATGACCGAATGTACTTTTTAAAAGAATGTCTACGGTGGGGTAATTGTTATTACCGAAAATAAATACAAGAACTTTGGCAGCCATGCCATTCTAAAGAGGTTTATTCTACCTGTAAGATGTATGGGAAGATTATTCAATTTAATTAGATCTGCTTTCTTATTGTTGAGTAATGGAATAAAGTTATCTTTATATATTAATCTAAATGATATTGATATGATTACCAGGGATTAGAGATATTGATCGGGTCAAGAAGAAGAAACAGGGGTTTACATTATACATTCCACCGGAGCGAGAGAGGATTTCAGGATACAGACTTTAGTCAGTCAGAGGACACACATTTGTCAATAGATTACACACACTGGACTGAGGCTTTTTCCAAATAAAATTGCATGCAATGATGTACACAAATTGTACAATGCCAGAGATCCTAATACGTCACATATTTTCATTCCAGCCCAGTAGGTGGCGGTAATGCACCATTAAAATTGGTTGCCAACAACGGTTAACACCACTGAAGAATAAGAAAAGCGGAAGTCATCTTCTTGTGGCAGGTGCGTAGGAAATAAATAACGTTTTTAAACGTATTTACTAGCTAATAAATATACCGCTGGTGTTGTATTTTTTTATGTTTATTTTGTAACATACACATATAAATCAATGGCATGAATGTCTTCGACTTAGCTTCCATTATAGGCCCTTAGTGAGAGCTTGCTAGCTGTTGCGTGCTACCCGATGACTGTTGACAGCAGTTGTAAATTAATTTGTTTATTTCAAAATGTAACTAGAGAAGACCTGTGGGAGACAACTTAATGGAATAATATGTAGTATCTAGCTACGTAACTAACATATCCTTGCTAACATTTGCCATAAAGAGTGTGTTTGTGGGTGCGTGTGTGTGTGTGTCCTCTTCCTCCAGATATAGGGTAGTGGTCTTCATCCAGTCCAGGTTAAGGAGGTTGCTACCTGGCGGTCTGTCTGTTAGTATGTCGTCCAGGAGAGAACAAAGTTCCAGGTCCCTTTTATTCGGCCTGCTGGTTGTACTGCTCTGTGAAGTGATCTCCTTTGCACACGCTAGTAAGGTATGTCAATACTAGGACTATCAACTCTGGTGTATTCTACTGTAGCCTGAGTCCCAGATCTGTTTCTACTGGCTTGCCAATTCTATTGCCAGGGCTGCGAACTTTTGAAGAAAGCTTTGAGTGAGATTTGCTATGTGAATTTCATTGCCCAATGGCACAACCCCTAGACGGGGGTCTGGGTGTCCTCCCCCAGGAAAAATGTACTGTTTTAAAGCTCATTTCCTGCAATTCTACATATTCTGACATGGCTTAGGCCTATGACCAGAGTGAGAAAAAAAAAACACAGGTCAGGTGTATTTAGGACGACAGTTACTTTGAGTATTCGAGTACTTCGAGCTGACTAGGTGAAAAATCTGTCTGTGCCCTTAAGCAAGGCCTAATTGCTCCTGTAAGTCGCTCTGGATAAGAGCGTCTGCTAAATGACTAAAATGTAATGTAATGTAAAATGAGTATGCAAATATTTTTTTACATATTTATTTGGTGGTTTGACACTTTATTCAGACAGTAATTAAATTAGATGGAGAGACAGGAAAATGGGAAGGTTGGATGCAGGGATTGATCCCTGTTCTCAGGTGGAAAGCTGGACACAAACATATTGTATTTTGTAATTTAGGTAAACTATCTCTTTAAAATAGGGCTGAAAGAAAATCCTGCTTGCTCTCCGGGAGGGTTGACTACCCCTGATGTTTCCCAAGTTCTGGTTGTTTAAAAATATTCTTGTTATAACAATTAATTTCTCAAAATCACTGAACCTTCAAGAAAAGTCTAATGAATATCAATATTCTGCTGGATTATTCCTACTAGTTGAAGATCCTTGCCATCATCTTACTCTACATAGACAAAATATGTTGAGTTTATGATTTTTAAGCCCCCCTAAAATGTCAACAATTATATTTGATTCCTGGAGCATATAATATCCAGTGCTTATTTGTATGACTTATTCAAAACTGTCCATGAATGGCTGAAAAAATACATAGCCTCATATAATACATTTTCAAAGACACAAGTAGGCATATCAGATTTCACATATGGGATTACACTGGCAACATTGGGAAGAAGTGGAATAATAAAATGTGTGGGGAATAACAGTAGTGTTCTTGCTGACAAGCACAGTAATTACCCTATATTGTTGCCCATTGTTAAGAGTGAGAATTGTTCAACTGATCAGACTAAATAAAGTAAATAGATAATAAAATCTCCTGAAGAGAAGATGACAAATCTGCCCTTACACATTTTTACATTTTAAATTTTAGTCATTTAGCAGACTTACAGTTAGTGAGTGCATACATTTACACCAAAACCAAATTATGTTTCTATTTATTGTCCCCCCTCTAGAATAAAACGTACACTTTTGGGTTCACAAGCTGTTTGACAAAAGTATTTTCAGTTACAAATCAGGTCACCCTACCAAACTTCCCTGCTAAAACAAACTGTAGATCTGTGCTGCCTTTTCGTTGTCACAGCCTAAAAGCCAATCACCAAACAAGGGGACTAATGCAAGTGTGGATTAAACATGCTGTCAAAAGGCTGCATTCTTTAATATGGGCGGGAGTAACAGCAAAGTCATTTTGTTGACATTGTACAAAAAAAGAGCGCTACCATTCTGCTATTTTTACAGTTTTATTAACTTAGCAGATACCATTCTCTCTTTCCATTCAGTTCTAATCTAATCTTAAGAGGCATTTCTTTAAAACATGCATCCAATCCCCTTGATCCCTAACATAACTAGACCAATCATATGCTTCAATGTTCCGCGGTTAACAGTGCTGTGGCAAGACAGGACAATGATAGAGGTTCTGCTCGTGATGGTAAATTGCAGGCGCAGATGCTCTGATTTCAAAACAATTTGGAGCACAGTTGAAAAGTTAATGCAATGACTATAATGGACTAATTAGAAAAATAAAAGCAGTACTTTTCAATAAGTGAGATATAAGAGGTGTGCCGTGAGAGTGTGAGAAGAGGGTCAAATGCGTGTCTCACATCCAATGCGTGAGAGTTTGCAGCTCTGCATTGCTCTGATTGCCTACAACGTTTGGCGTGACAAATGACAATCACAGTAATGGCGTTAACAAGACAGCACAAATAGATCTGGTATAAGCTAGTGTATACTGCTACCATTTTTTGATAATGCACATATCACTGTATAGTAATAAGGATCTTCTCTATATTCACAGAGTTTTGAAGATGTGCGCTGCAAGTGTATCTGTCCACCCTACAGGAACATCACCGGACACATCTACAACAGGAATGTCTCCCAGAAAGATTGGTGAGGGATTTTCTAGTGCATAACATGTGCATGCACATCATGCTGAATTCACAATCTAGTCTTCCACAAAGAATCCCCACATAGTTAATAATAATAATATAATAATATGCCATTTAGCAGACGCTTTTATCCAAAGCGACTTACAGTCGTGCGTGCATACATTTTTGTGTATGGGTGGTCCCGGGGATCGAACCCACTACCATGGCGTTACAAGCGCCGTGCTCTACCAGCTGAGCTACAGAGGACCACAAGTTCTGCTGAGGGGTGGTGGATTTCAAGTTCCATACCATAAATTAATAGTTTGTTGTTTATCATAGTCATGGAAAGGCTCAACTAAAAATGTAGACTACATCTTGGCCCAGTCCATAATGTCATTGTTACATCTTGGATCCATCCTAATATGTTTATTTATCTGTCCCCAGTAACTGCCTCCATGTAGTGGAGCCCATGCCAGTGCCGGGCCATGATGTGGAGGCCTACTGCCTGCTGTGTGAGTGCAAGTATGAGGAACGCAGCAGCAACACCATCAAGGTACTGAGTCTGACCCTTACACACACAGTTGATTTCAACCTCTATTAACTGGTGTTGGGTATGGTTAAATTCCATGTGCCCATAGGCACAACTTAGCCTCTTAAAAAACTCTCCTGAGGTTAAGGGTCACTGATTGTAACTCAGCTATGGCGGTCTGGAAAGTTACTGCTAAGGACTTATTGTCCACTTAGTAGATGGTTTATAGCCTTGAGTTATGTTATGGCATGTGCTGGCACTGGGAGAATGGAACAGATAAGGATGCTCTTATAATAAGGCCTTCGACCTTGTGTTCTTTGGATTATGTTACGGACTCTCAGGAGAACGTTTCTGTCTTCCCCCTTTGTGCACAATTATTTTATTAAACCTTTAAAATACAGTTGTGGTTCGCCTTATCCTTTGAATCCAGCATTTCCACACCTGAGCAACCGAAGATTCCCAACTGTGGTAAAAACTGACTGGTGGTAATGCTAAAGAGGAAATGGTATAGGAGCATGGTGTTTAAAACCATGACTAAAGGAATACATTCACGACTATCCATACAGCATATACTGTACGTAAGGCCCGACTCTAAAAGTGTAAATGCCAGATAAATGAGAGAACCAGACTGAGACCATTGTACTGAAATGCACGTTTTTTATTTACGCCTTAATGTTTATCAGTAAAATTCATTACAATTTCATTAAGGTAATGTGATGGCCGAATGTTATACATTATGGCTGGCTTCCTGGTAACTGATGTTGTACAGTATGGCTGGCTTCCTGGTAACTGATGTTGTACATTATGGCTGGCTTCCTGGTAACTGATGTTGTACATTTTGGCTGGCTTCCTGGTAATGTTATACATTATGGCTGGCTTACTGGTAACTGATATTGTACATTATGGCTGACTTCCTGGTAATGTTGTACATTATGGCTGGCTTCCTGGTAATGTTTTACATTATGGCTGGCTTACTGGTAAGTGTAGTAGAAGGTTCCACTATTCAGACCGCAGGTTATGCTGTGGGTGCCAGAGTGGAGCTTAGTGGTGCAGGTTCCCAGGTGGTCATCGAAGTTCAGTTCCTTCTCCCAGATCTCAAACTTCAGGGAAGCCCTGGATGCCACATTCAGAAAGTTAAATACGGCACTCCAGGATGGGTTTTGAGTATCATTGTGCCAGTCTGTCATGCCACCGGATTCGCCACCACATCAAACCTTGACATAGGGGTCAGGGTAATTACCAGGCAGAGTCCTCTAGAAGCCCGACACCCTGACGTTTGCAGCATACATAATAATAATAATAATAATTTTGCTAGGTATCGTTAGCTAGCGCCAGTCAGCTGTACCTGCGCCAAAACTCCTGTATGTTTCATCCTATAGCTTGTTCTTCATCTTTTTAAAGAGTGAGCCAACATGTTTTCAGCACTTTTATTTCCATGACTGATCAAATAAAATGTTCTCATGCTCTATCTTGTCTCTCTGCAGCAGACATGGTGAGCAATATGTTTAAAAAATCTAACCACAATAAAATGGCAGTATTGAATCACAATACATTGAAAATCGTGAGAATCGCTATACATATCGTATCGTCACCAAAGTATTGTGATAATATTGTTTCATGAGTTCCATTTGCAATTCCCAGCCCTAGTCTTCACAGAGAAGAGTAGATACAAATAAATAAAAAGTCAGAAGGTCAAGGAAATATATTTTATGCTTTATGCAAAATGCAATAAAGTAATACAGTACACTCTCGTTACAGGACTTGATATGAAGATTAGAATGGAGTAGGTCTAACCTGTACTATGTAGTCTGTATCTCAGGGGAACTAACCACTGATGTTTTTTCCCTATGCCCGCTCTGTGTTTATAAAGATTTCACGCATGCATCAGCGGTGGTTGATGGCACTTAAATTGTGAAGGACGGGCTCTGTTGGTGTCATGTTTTGGCTGAGAAAAAAAAAAGAATACAATTGAAATGTCAACTTTCAAATGGTAGCACAAAAATGGTTGGAGGTCCACACATCAGAGAATGTTGACTTGAATAGGAAACCAATCAATAGGAAACCTATTGAAATCATAGAAATATAGATCATAGAATAGACATTCCTGTTTAAGTTGGCATTTGACCGGCGGTCATCTTTGTTGTAGTAATTGGAAGTACAAATTTCTATTCAATATGCATTTCAATTATGTACCAGCTGTGGTCTGAAGGGATATGTCCATTCTATGAATTATATTTCTATGATTGAAATGACACCCACCCTGCATTATTTATTTTATTTATTTTCAAGACTATGCTGTATCTCAACCGATGGCAGGCACAACACAAACCCCTTAGATGATGTAAAATAGGGTCTAAGCTACAACATATGAAAATAATCGTAGTTGACGTGTTTTTAGATCATTTACATCAAAGGTAAAAAAAAATGTTGTTTTAGAGAATTTGGCGGTACGTCCAACCAGCCTCACAACCGCAGACCACGTTTAACCACACCAGTCTAGGATCTCAATATCAAGCTTCTTCACCTGCGGGATAATCTGAGACCAGCCACCCGGACAGCTGATGAAACTGTGGGTTTGCACAACCGAAGAATTCCTGCACAAACTGTCAGAAAGCGTCTCAGGGAAGCTCATCTGCGTGGTCGTCGTCCTCACCAGGGTCTTGACCTAACTTCAGTTCGGTGTCGTAACCCACTTCAGTGGGCAAATACTCACAGTGGTGTAAAAATACTTTAAAGTACTACTTAAGTTGTTTTTTGGGGTATCTGTACTTTACTTTACTGTTTATATTTTTGACAACTTTTACTTTTACTCCACTACCCTAAAGAAAATATGTGCTTTCTACTCCATACATTTTCCCTTACACCCAAAAGTACTCGTTACATTTTGAATGTTTAGCAAGACAGGAAAATTGTCTAATTCACGCACCTATCAAGAGAACATCCCTGGTCATCCCTACTGCATCTGATCTGGCGGACTCACTAAACACAAATGCTTTGTTTGTAAATTATGTCTGAGTGTTGGACTGTGCCCCTGGCTATCCGTAAATTACATAAACAAGAAAATCATGCCGTCTGGTTTGCTTAATATAAGGAATTTGAAAACTTTTACTTTTGATACTTAAGTATATTTTAGTAATTACATTTACTTTTGATACTTAAGTATTTTAAAACCAAATACTTTTTGACTTTTACTCAAGTAGGATTTTACTGGGTGACTTTCACTTTTACTTGTCATTTTTCTATTAAGGTATCTTTACTTTTACTCAAGTATGACAAATGGGTACTTTTTCCACCACTGAATACTCACCTTTGATGGCCACGGGCATGCTGGAGAAGTGTGCTCTTCATGGATGAATCCCGGTTTCAACTGTACTGGGCAGATGGCAGACAGCATGTATGGCGTTGTGTGGGCGAGCGGTTTCCTGATGTCAACGTTGTGAACAGAGTGCCCCATGGACAATGAACACAATTGCATTTTATGGATGGCAATTTGAATGCACAGAGATACCGTGACAAGATCTTGAGGCCAACTGTCGTGCCATTCATCTGCTGCCATCAACTCATGTTTCAGCATGATAATGCTAGCCCCCATGTCGCCATGATCTGTACACAATTCCTGGAAGCTGAAAATGTGCCAGTTCTTCCATGGCCTGCATACTCACCAGACATGTCACCCATTGAGCATGTTTGGGATGCTCTGGATTGACGTGTATGACAGCGTATTCCAGTTCTCGCCAATATTCAGCAACTTCGCACAGCCATTGAAGAATGGGACAACATTCCACAGGCCACAATCAACAGCCTGATCAACTCCATGCGAAGGAGATGTTGCGCTGCATGAGGCAAATGGTGGTGCCCCATGGGTACTGACTGGTTTTCTGATCCACGCCCTTACTTTTTTTTATTTTAAGGTATCTGTGACCAACAAATGCATATCTAATTAATTTATTTCCATTGACTGATTTCTTTATGAACTGTAACTCAGTCAAATATTTGAAATTGTTGCATGTTGCATTTATATCTTTGTTCATTTTCATTTGGTAACAGAATTTTGAGTTGAATCACTTAATTACAAATAGATGTCAGTAAAAACACTATAACTAATTGGTAGGTCTACCTTTACTTGTTACTTCTGTGAACTTTCATTATGCTCCCTCATGAAAGAGATAAATTAGAAAATATCTTAAAGATGCAGTGCTGCTTGAAAGTATGTGAACCCCTTGTGCAATTACAGATCTTTTCAGTTTTTACCATGAAATCTTCATTTAATCAGAACCAGTCTTTTTGATCTGACATAACAGGTTTATATTGACCAATACCATGTGTTGGTGTAGAGGAAATCATGCTTGTAGTAGAAAAACAAAATTAAAAAGGAATTAGTGCAGGTGCAAAAATAAGTGAACCCTAAGTTGCGTTGGTTAAATCAAGTAGGTAAGTAGAATCAGGTGGGTAAATAATTAGCTACCAAATGAACCAATCAAAGGAGAGATCGTTAGGAAAGAGTTTGGGCGGGACCCTGATAAATAGAGAAAAGAAACCTGGTCAGTTTGGTGTTACCCATCCAGGTGAATGCGAAGCACACCATGCCGAGAGGAAAGGAGATCTCAGAGGACATCAGGACGAGGGTAGTGAGAGTACATCAGTCTGGGGAAGGCTATAAAATCATCTCAAAAAGATTTGAGCTCCATCAGTCCACTGTGAGGCAAATAATTTATAAATGGAGAGCATTTAACATGACAGCAACTCTGCCTAGAAGTAGTGGACGCCCTTCCAAAATATCCCCAAGAGCCACAAGAACAATAATAAATCAGGTAAAAGCCACCCCAAACATAACAGCTAGAGATTTGCAGACCTCCCTTGTGGCATCTCAGGTAACTGTGCATGCTTCAACAATAAAAAGAACACTGAATCGAAATGCCATTCATGGGAGGGTTGCTAGGAAGAAGCCTCTGCTGTCAAAAAAGAACCAAACTGCCCGTCTTAACTTTGCCAGAGACCACCTGGACAAACCGGAAGGTTTCTGGAAGTCCAAAATTGACCTTTTTGGTCACAATCAACACCGCTATGTTTGGCGAAAACCCAACACTGCCTACCACCAAAATAACCTTATTCCAACAGTCAAGCATGGTGGTGGGAATGTCAAGATCTGGGGCTGCTTTTCCTCCTCTGGACCTGGAAGACTCCACATCATTAAGGGAACCATGAATTCTGAGGTATACCAGGAGATTCTTTAACAGAACTTCAGGCCATCAGTCAAGGAGCTAAAGCTGGGCCAAAAATGGGTCTTCCAACAAGACAACGACCCAAAGCATTCAAGCAAATCTACCAAAGAATGGCTCAGGAGAAAGAATATTTGTGTTTTGGATTGGCCAAGTCAAAGTCCTGACCTAAATCCAATGGAGATGCTGTGGCAGGACCTGAAGCGGGAAGTTCATGCCAGATACCCCTCAAACCTCACTCAATTGGCTGAGTTCTGTAAGGAGGAGTGGGCAGAAATTACTCAAAATAGATGTCAGAGACTGATTACTGGCTATAGGAGACGTTTAGTCCAAGTTATCGCTGCTAATGGAGGTGCGACAAGCTATTGACTGAAGGGGTTCACATTTTTTTTCACATAAGTTTCTGTTAAATCACTTTTGTTAAATAAACAATGAAAATATATCTTTTTTTTTTCTGTCATGTACTTGGAATGTCTTTATTACGAATTGGGGTTTAGATAAGGATTATATGTTTATTTTCATATTTTATAGCAAAATAATGACCAGGGTTCACATACTTTCAAGCAGCACTGTATGTGGGTTTTGGGTAACGGAATTTCATGGCGCAGGGCAATGTTTCTTAAATAATTTCTCAAAAATGAAATATAAGTGTTGATATTGTTTGGCAGGGGTCTTTAGTTCAACATTAATGTGTTTTGATGTATTTCTATTACCTTTTTAAGACTTTTTCTGGTAGATGTTTTCTAAGGCCCCTTTTCCATCTGTTTGACCAGAAATCAAAGCCTTTGCTTGTTCCTAATATTTAGGATAGAAAATTGTTGGAAAATGTATATATGCCTTAATTTCAACAACAAAACATATCTAGACTCTGCTTTAATTTGACACCAGATTTGACATTCTGCTATGAACTTCACATTTTTTCTTATTTTTTTATTTAATATTTGTACATACTTTTTAGATACTGTATTTGCCAATGTGAATAATAAATTATATATTTATAATATAGAAATAATGTTTGAAATATCCCTCTCCCTCTGCTTTTTTTTTGTAATAATACATCATTTCCTCTCTTTGTATTCCTGCAGATCTTTTAATGTTTGCCTTTGCATTTCACAAAGCAGCCGAAGGCTTTGTCTACCAAACTTTAATCAAATCTGCGTTCTATCCTCTGTCCCAGGTGACCATCCTCATCTACCTGTCAGTGGTGGGCTCCCTCCTACTCTACATGTTGTTCCTGCTGCTGGTTGACCCTCTGATCCGTAAACATGACCCCTATATCCAGCCCCTTCACAACGAAGAGGACTCTGAGGTAGGCCAACTTTTAAATACACATAAGCACACGCAAATTAATGAGTTACGTTACTGTTTGAATTCTGGAAGGTCAGATATACAGGAGCTTTATTTCATTCATCAATTGTAGAGTGCCAGCTTTGCTCTTCCACACAGTCACCACACAGAGGGATCATAAACTCACATTACCTATCAGTTAAGCTTGATGTTTTGATGATTTAGTTCTCTCTGATACCGCTAAGTTTTGTTGAGGTCAACCGGTGAAGGTCAACAGGTGAAGCACACAGGTGTGTGATGTCCTTTGTCTGTAACGTCCTGTGCTCTCTCTCTGTCTCTGTCTCCCCTCACAGGACATGCGGCCACAGCCTGAGGGTGCCAGTGCTGCTCAGGGAGGCAGAAGTAACACAGTACTGGAAAGGGTAGAGGGGGCACAGCAGCGGTGGAAAAAACAGGTCCAGGAACAGCGCAAGACTGTCTTTGACCGACACAAGATGCTTAGTTAAACCCCAATGGCTGACTTCAGATCAGAGGCTAGAGTCACCTCCTGAGCTTTGTCCACATCTGCTGCTGTTGTACTGTCATTAGCTACATCGTTGTTGTTCAGGATTTCAGTTCCTTTGCCATTTCAATACATTCCCACCACGTTTAAGACAGTTTATGTACAGTAATGTTGTTTGGAATGATGGCTGGCCCAATTGTCCTTTGTTTCCAAAATGATGGTTGCTGTCATAACTCAAAAGCTAAAGAATACAGATGTGATAGATGTGTATCGAAATGAGGAGTAGAACAAAACAGCATAATGCAAGTTGCAGTTACATCATCATCTCTGCGTCATACACTGAGAATACAAAACATTAATAGACAATTGAGACATGGATTGTGTATGTGTGCCATTCAGAGGTTGAATGGGCAAAGATTTTGCCTTTAAACTGGGTATGGTAGTAGGTGTCAGGCGCACCGGTTTGTGTCAAGAACTGCAACGCTGCTAGGTTTTTCCACGCTCAACAGTTTCCCGTATGTTTCAAAGAATGGTCCACCACCCAAAGGACATCCAGCCAACTGACACAACTGTGGGAAGCATTGGAGTAAACATGGGCCAGCATCCCTGTGGAACGCTTTCGACACCTTGTAGAGTCCATGCCCCGACGAATTGAGGCTGTTCTGAGGGAAAATGTTTGGTATACTCAGTGTTTACCGTTAAATGAAACTGGATATATTGCAATCATGGCATCAACAATAAGCTTGAAAAAATAAGACTGATTCTGAATGTCTTAATAAGCTTAACCACCTTTAAAAAATATATATATATCAACACTCATTGTAGCATTGTTGTGTTGTGACGTTATCTCAGCCAGTGGATACTGTAGCTAGGCTGAATGTTTCTAAATTATAAGTTCACTGGAAATAGGCTGACATTGCCAGTACTTAATTGGTTAATTTAATTATTAGCTAGTTTCAAGCAATATTCATTCCTTAGTTTAAGCACTGTATGAGAACCAGCTCACTGCTTGTGGTTCATTTAGCACTTCATGATGATATCCTTTGTACTGAAAGACACAATAATGGAGTATTTATTCCTTTATTAGCCTTGTAATAGTGATGAATCGTTTTGCTTACTTTGTTTTGAGAGGCTGACTCTGCCTGAGGTGGAGTTTATTGAAACTCCTGAGGAAGCTGAATGTGAATGGCTTGTCTTGTAACGCTCTTTATAATGTAGTTATTAACTGTAGAATCACTGGTTAATGGTTTTTGGAATTACTGGAATGCCAAATGACTTTGGATGATTCCAGAGTGGCATGTTGCAGTCAGTGGATTGTCTCTCACAGTCTATTAGCTAGGGCTGATGCTGTGCGTGTGCAGGGGGGAGATTTCCATTCACAGTCAAAAGTGAAATCATGCTGGCCTGCTTTTCCTCAAACATACATGTTGAGGAATGCTGAAGATGTCTGTTGAATTATTATTTCTTAATGTATTTTTAGATGATGTATTTAAATGCAAATGCACTCTTTTAATTGACGTTGTTTTCATAATGTGAATATGATAGGCTTATATGTTGATGTTTAAGACATCAACTGATATGTTTGATTAGGTTTTTATTACAGTTATATCTTGCACTGTTGAAAGAATGTGTGTTACGTAATTGTCCTACATAATGCTTGAGAAACAATAAAATAAGTTCCCTTGGTTGAGCTTATATTTATCCTGTTGAAGTTATTTGGTAAAATAGTTTGAAGACTCTTTTGTCTTTATAGATGATGTTAGACCCCTTGTCACTTGGGTTGTTGCCTGCTGCCTTTTTCTGAAGCCATAGCCCTCATCTTCTGTTGTGCTTTTATTACTTGTGACCACTAGATGGCGACACAGCACATACTTTTGTAATTTATTTAGGCCTATGTTAGCTGGGCCTGGGGGAAATATACTTAAAAGAACCATTGCACATTTTGTTAATAGAACACTTAGCTTAGTCCTTTTTAACAAGGTTGCGGTAGCTAGAGGACTTGTGAAAAGCTATTTCACAGCCTTTATGATTAACCTTACAACTTTAAATGAAATGCTTTTGTGTTGTATTGTGGTTTTTTGTTTGGTAAATGAAAGTTACAAGTTAAGTTGTGTGAATGGATATACAGTCATGTGAATAGTATTATTTTGATGCAGTTTAGACATGCCACCTGTCCTATCCTGGAGAGGGGTTCTGTGGCATTATGGTGTACTAGTCTCTGGTGACTGACAACACTTGCCAGACCAGCGAGCATGCGTGATTTGGTTCTGGGTGGCGAGTAGCTCTGGTCCAGGGCGTTAGTGTGTGTACATTTACATTAACATTTTAGTCATTTAGCAGACGCTCTTATCCAGAGCGACTTACAGGAGCAATTAGGGTTAAGTGCCTTGCTCAAGGGCACATTAACGTCATTTAGCAGACGCTCTTAGCCAGAGCGACTCGCAAATTGGTGCGTTCACCCTATAGCCAGTGGGATAACCACTTTACAATTTGGGGGGGGGGGGGGGGGGTTAGAAGGAACACTTTATCCTATCCCAGGTATTCCTTAAAGAGGTGGGGTTTCAAATGTCTCCGGAAGGTGGTGAGTGACTCCGCTGTCCTGGCGTCGTGAGGGAGCTTGTTCCACCATTGGGGTGCCAGAGCAGCGAACAGTTTTGACTGGGCTGAGCGGGAACTATGCTTCCGCAGAGGAAGGGGAGCCAGCAGGCCAGAGGTGGATGAACGCAATGCCCTCGTTTGGGTGTAGGGACTGATCAGAGCCTGAAGGTACAGAGGTGCCGTTCCCCTCACTGCTCCATAGGCAAGCACCATGGTCTTGTAGCGGATGCGAGCTTCAACTGGAAGCCAGTGGAGTGTGCGGAGGAGGGGGGTGACGTGAGAGAACTTGGGAAGGTTGAACACCAGACGGGCTGCGGCATTCTGGATGAGTTGTAGGGGTTTAATGGCACAGGCAGGGAGGCCAGCCAACAGCGAGTTGCAGTAGTCCAGACGGGAGATGACAAGTGCCTGGATTAGGACCTGTGCCGCTTCCTGTGTAAGGCAGGGTCGTACTCTCCGAATGTTGTAGAGCATGAACCTGCAGGAGCGGGTCACCGCCTTGATGTTGGCGGAGAACGACAGGGTGTTGTCCAGGGTCACGCCTAGGCTCTTCGCACTCTGGGAGGAGGACACAGCGGAGTTGTCAACCGTGATGGCGAGATCATGGAACGGGCAGTCCTTCCCCGGGAGGAAGAGCAGCTCCGTCTTGCCAGGGTTCAGCTTGAGGTGGTGATCCGTCATCCATACTGATATGTCTGCCAGACATGCAGAGATGCGATTCGCCACCTGGTTATCAGAAGGGGGAAAGGAGAAGATTAGTTGTGTATCGTCAGCGTAGCAATGATAGGAAAGGCCATGTGAGGATATGACAGAGCCAAGTGACTTGGTGTATAGGGAGAAAAGGAGAGGGCCTAGAACTGAGCCCTGGGGGACACCAGTGGTGAGAGCACGTGGTGCGGAGACAGCTTCTCGCCACGCCACTTGGTAGGAGCGACCGGTCAGGTAGGACGCAATCCAGGAGTGAGCCGCGCCGGAGATGCCCAGCTCGGAGAGGGTGGAGAGGAGGATCTGATGGTTCACAGTATCAAAGGCAGCAGACAGGTCTAGAAGGACAAGAGCAGAGGAGAGAGAGTTAGCTTTAGCAGTGCGGAGAGTCTCAGTGACACAGAGAAGAGCAGTCTCAGTTGAATGACCAGTCCTGAAACCTGATTGGTTTGGATCAAGAAGGTCATTCTGAGAGAGATAGCAAGAGAGTTGGCTAAAGACGGCACGCTCAATAGTTTTGGAAAGAAAAGAAAGAAGGGATACTGGTCTGTAGTTGTTGACATCAGTGGGGTCGAGTGTTGGTTTTTTGAGAAGGGGAGCAACTCTCGCTCTCTTGAAGATGGAAGGGACATGGCCAGCGGTCAAGGATGAGTTGATCAGCGAGGTGAGGTAGGGGAGAAGGTCTGGAGAAGGGAGGAGGGGATGGGGTCAAGCGGGCAGGTTGTTGGGCGGCCTGCAGTCACAAGTCGCAGGATTTTATCTGGAGAGAGAGGGGAGAAAGAAGTCAAAGCATAGGGTAGGGCAGTGTGAGCAGGACCAGCAGTGTCATTAGACTTAACAAACGAGGATCGGATGTCGTCAACCTTCTTTTCAAAGTGGTTGACGAAGTCATCTACAGAGAGAGAGGAGGGGGGGGGGGGGGGTACCTCCACTAAACACACACAAAAACCCTGGACCAGAGCTAGGTGCCGAGATCAATGGTAAACAGGTAAATATGTTGTGTAACACTTCAGAGAGATCATGACAACATGAGAAGACTCTTAATCGTCACTAATGGCCCTATTCCCTATATATTGCACTACTTTTGACCAGGCCCCTGGTCAAAAGTAGTGCACTAAATAGGGAGTAGGGTGCCATTTGGTATGCAACCTTTGTGTTCCTGCCTGCCCACTTACTGTGCTGTTCAGATGAAGAATGTTTATACTGTAGACTAGTTTGGGTTGGCACTATGGTGTAAACACTCCTTCATCTGCACTGTGTCACAGAAGCACAACAAGTCAGCCTGCCCTGGCCACTGAATTAAAGAAAGAACATCCACAACTCTTTCCCTCCCTCCCTCTCTCCTCCCTCGTTTCTCTTCTCCTTAATGTGTTCAGAGCAGACGCGGCTACAGCCTGCACCTCTTTCCTTCAATTCCCTCCCTGTCGTCGTCCTGTTTTCTCCTCTCTTCTTTTTCATGTGTTCAGACAATGCAGCTAGAGCTGCTACAAGTACCTCCTTCCTTCCTGCCCTCCCGCTTTCCTCTTCCTCTTCTTCTTCATGTTCACAGATTAGGGTCTTCTTTAGATCTCTGGTCGGTAGGGGGACAGCTGCACACTTTCTCTGTCTGTCTTTGGGACAGGCAGTTTTTTCTGCTGTCTCAGGAGGACTTCCCCTACCCCCTGCCCCTCTACCCTGACTGATCCTGCTTCCCCCTTCCTTCCTTGTGCTCACCGTCCCCCACCCCCTCACCCCCCAAAACCCCCTTAACTACCCCTCTACTCCCCTAAACCCTCCTCAGCCACCTCCCAACTCTCTGTCATTCCCCCTACCCTCCACCTCCAGCCTGTTAGCCATCCCCAAGCATGGCTACAGTCAGTCCGTCGTTAGCTGTCTATATTTAAATCAGGGAGGCGGCCGGGCCAACTGCTGCTCTTCAAGCAGCTCACAGACAGTTCCTCTAAGTTTTCCTCTCCTGGTCTGGTGTAGTTTTCTCTTCTAACAGAATCCTGGGCCAAGTGGATCACTCTGTCCTGTCCCTGTTCATGTGGCTCTGAGACAGAGAGACAGAGTCAGGAGGACAGAGAGAGAGGGAAGAGGG